TCAATGATAATCTTTTTTTAAAAATCACAGAATATTCCAGATCACCTAGATAATAACATTATAATCAAGTATCAACATAATTTCAGTTTCCATGCTTGTGGTTCACAATTATCCTGGTTACAGGCAATCCCCCAAAATGACAGCATTTAATGTACTACAGTGGTTCTCAAACTTCTGTAGTCCTAGATCGAAATATTCTTCAGTTTGAGGAAGTATGGCTTTAGAATTTTTCTACATTCCTAAAACAAATATACATATTGAGCACCTACAAATATTCTAGGTGAGGGAAGATAGAAAAGAATGGAAGAGCAATGAGAAGTTTAAGCATCCCAGGTTTTATAAGAGGCAAGACAAAGCGTAAATGAATTTTCCTAAAGTACTAAGCAGGAACTAAAGAAGATGAAAGAATCTGGAAAGCCTTAACCAACAGTGCTAGGAATAAAGACTGACTACAGAATAATGAACAAAGCCAGGGATGTCCAATCTTTTGGCTTTCCTGGGCCATAGTGGAAGAATAATTATCTTAGGCCATATATAAAATACACTAACAATAGGTGATGAGCTTTACAAAAGAAAAGAAAAGAAAAGAAAAAATCACACACAAAAAAATCTCGTAACATTTTAAGAAAGTTTACAAATTTGTGTTGGGCTACATTCAAAGCCATGCTGGGCCACAAGCAGCCCTTGGGCAGTGGGTTGGACAAGCTTAAACTAGGCCATCAAAGAGAGAAGAAAATGGAATGAGAGGATGGGCCCATATCCTCCTAGCCTAAAACATAAAAAGAACGGAAGTCAGCATGGCAGGTTTTGGATTACTTCTGGGCTCCAGATACTACTGGTGCCATCATCCTAGGAGAGAATGCTGCTAATCATAGTGTGGGAGAAGGGAATCTGGTGGGCAGCAGAAGGAGCAGTATATGTTACATGATCATTTATGTTTAAGTGAAATTTCTAAGTTCTGAGTTTACAATTCAGAAAGCATCTAAATATGGAAAACCAAATGGAATATGAAGATCAGAGACTTTTTGCAGGTAGAAAATGAGATGGTTTAAATTAGGAAAGGTTTCCTAGAGAAGGAAAGCCTAGAAGCTCCAAGGAAAGCCTAGACGTTTCCTAGTGAAGGAAAGCTTCACTTTGGGAAGCTGAGGTAAGAAGATCCCACACTTTGGGAAGCTGAGGTAAGATCCCTTGAGACCAGGAGTTCGAGACCAACCTACATAACGTAACGTCTCTACAAAAAATAATCTAAAAAAGCCAGGCATACCACATGCCTGTATTGTCAGCTACTCAGGAGGCTAAGGTGAGAGGATTGCTTGAACCCAGGAGGTCAAGGCTATAGTGAGCTATGGTCATAGCACTGCATGCACTTCAGCCTGGGTGACAGAGTGAAACCTTAACTCTAAAAAGAAAAAAAAAAAAAATTATAAATTTTTTTTTAAAAAAAGAAAGCCTAGAGTATTACTTAAAATAATTACATATCTCCTATCAGGCAAAACAATAGTAATGGTGAAATTACAAATAATTCAGAAAAGAAAAAATAAGAGCCTGAAGAGTAGTTATAGGGAATGTGTGCTACCTGCCTAGTAGGAAATAAAAGAAATCATGAAAGGTAAAGGTTTGTATTTGATTCAGGACTTTGAAGAGCCACTAAAAGAATACGTACAAAAGTAGATGAAAAACAACTTCGCCATCAATATGCAGACTATTTTATGGTACTAAAAAAATCACCAGAGTCTAGCCAAATGCCATTACACTTTCACCAAAGAGGAGAGATTCCTGCAAGTTAAAAGAATGTAATCATATCTGTCTTAAATTTACTTTTCAGAAAGCCACTAGAACAGAAGCCTACTAAACCATAATCAAGACTACAAATCTGATTATTTCAAGAAAGGAAAACAAATACCAAAGGATCAAGAACTGCCAACAGTCATTAGTCCTAAATCTGTACATGAAGATTAATTCTATATCAATTTTTCTTTAGTTCCAAGAAAGATACCTCACATTTTTGCCACTTGACACAGTGCAAGAGCTAATTATCGAAGAGTTAATAGGATGGCATGATGTTGGCCACAAAATGGCATGCCACCCCCTCTCTATCCACAGTGGAGCACAGATTAAACTTCATCTCCCACTCAAAGTTCCTTCACAAAGAAATAAGTCTAATTTATGATATAAGTCGAAGGCAAGTCAAAACGTCTCTCCCACCAGTATTCTAAACTGCTTTCTTGGGTTCAATTTTTCTTATAATCAAAAACAAGTAGAGAATATACATATGAAAGCAAGTGGTATGACTAAAATTAAGAGGACCTCTAAAGTCATATTTCATTGAGACTAAATTCTGCAGACCTGTGGTTTTCAAATTGTGGTACACAACAACCCTGGGTGAACATCATGTCCCAGGGGATTCAAAGACAGGATTAAACTTTGTACAGCTGCCTAATCTCAAATTAATGTGATGATGTGAGAAGCAAAAGACCTTTAACATAAATGAAATGTGTTTCCCTCAAACAACAAACATGTTGTAAAATGCAAACTTTTCCATGAATTTCTAAGATAAAACAGGAAATTATAAAGATATCATGTAGCTATGAACAAGATATTTTGAACTCCATCCATAAGATTTAGGAAGGAGAGGTTTAGAAGTAGTATATGTGTTCACTCTCCTCTGCTGTCACCAAGGGAAAAGTTTAAGTAACACATCATCTCTCATGTTTCTTTCACCTCTCCAGCAACATGAATTTATTTGTTCTCATATGTAACCCTTCTAGTCCATTCTCTCAAGTCCTAGTCCAAGGCCTTAACACCCCAACCTGGGCTGAGTGCAAAACCTTGTCTAAGGTTACAGGCTCTTTTCATCCTAATTCATAATTATGCTGGTAGATAAACCTTCTATGTTTTCAACTCTAAACAAATACCTTGAGTAAAAACAGTTACCATCATTGAATGCTACTATAGATCCAGTACTTTGTATTCACTATCTCATTTAATCCCCAAAATTCTCTAAAGTAGAAGCTCTGCTTTCCAGAGTAGAAAACTAAGACTCAGATTAATTAAACTTCAAGGAAACTAAACCAACGACAGAGATGGGACTCCAGCCCATACCTGACTATAAAGCTCACTACGTTACTGAGAAGCTACTACAGAGTAGCTTCTACAGGGTCCAAGCCATTGTACTGATCATCAAGGGGAATACACTTTCAATCTTATGCTCAAAACCATTAACAAACTCCTACTGCCTATAAAACAAGCTCAAACTAAAAAAACACAAAAAACAAAAACCACACACACACCAATGGCACTAAAGACCCTCTATAATTCCCAGCACTGAAAATTGTTCTGTAGCCAAGCAAAATTATTTATTGTTCTCCTAACATAAAATCCTCACTGAACTCTGACTCATACAGTTCATCGCAGTCTAGAATCACTCTATTACCTACCCTTACAAAAACCTGCTCTCTCCTTAAGGCCCAAACCAAGCCAAATATCCTTCAAAAACCTTCCCTATTTAGGTTCATAATGACAGCCCCCTAATAGAGATTACTTAAAATCAGTGCAAGATGACAAGTATAATCCATTCAATAGTCTAAGGTCTCTGAACACAAAAACTACACTGTAACTCGACACTTCTCTCTTCCTTAGATAGACATACATGGGCAGGCACCCAACCCCTAGTCTCATGTTCTTTCCACTGTCTCACTGAGGCAATAAAAAGTGATTGAACTGGACATGCATTTCAAAACAAAGGGTGACACATGATTTATCATTTTGCTTATACTTAGCTGGTTCCCTTTCCACCTGCAGCTGTCTCAAGTCTTTACTCCTCCCCTTCAGAGCACTATTCAAACACCCCAACCAAGCTGTTTAAGACAATTGAAGCCATCAGGTGTGAATTCCTTCACCAGTCCTCCTCTGTCACTTAGAAATATACCTTTACAGTCATCCTAACTTTAGTCCTTCTTGTCTCAGTGTGTCCCTATGCTTTTCCCCAAGTTAATTTCTCTACCATGTCCTTCATCTCATCCTCTCTTTAACGTTCAAGCTCTTATTCTAGTATTTGTTTCTTTCTCTTGTTCTTCAGTCTCTCCCTAGGCTCCTTCCCTTCAACCAACCAACATGTTCATTTCTCCGATCATTTACTCCTATTTATTGAATTTACCATGTGCCAAGAACTGTTCTGTGTACTAGGGTTACAGAAATGACCTCTGCCCCATGGAGCTTATATTCCAGTGAGTGAGACTGAAAATAAACAAGAAATAATTGAAAATTATGGCTTGTGAAAAAAAAAGATAAGCTGTATGAAGAAAAACAAAAGTGACTGAACTGAAGCAGAACTGCAGAGGAGAGAACAAGTGGTTGTTTTGAGGTCCGCACCAGGGAGGTAACACTTACGAATTGTGTGAAAGCAAGGGGCAAAACAATTTAAAAGAGAGAAAACAAAAAATGCTAACACCTGGGAGAACCACCTTGGTTGTATCATGAAGAAATTAAAAAAAAAAAAAAAAAAAAAAAGACCTGTGACTGGAATGTAATAAGCCTGGTGGGGGCAGTGGCACATAAATGAAACCTGAGTAGCAGGCAGGGACCAGATTTTATAGACCATGGGGAAGGAGTTTGGATTTTATTCTATCTGCAACAGGAAGCCACTGGAGGATCTTAAATAAGAAATGATGTGATCTGATCATTCTGAAACCTCAAATATACAAAAATACTACCATCTTTTAGATTAACAAAGTATTTTCTCTAGTTAGAAATTACTATGTACTCTCTAACTTGTTCAAGAAAAATTCAATTTTAAAAAACTGCCTCAACATCTGTATTTAATGCTATATCAAATATACACTTGCTTTAAAATTAGATACAGGAAAAAGTGTGTCTAACAAACTCAATAAACCACACTTACCTGTTGATTTCATCTAATGAGGTAAGTTTAGAAAGCACAATCGTCATTTTATTTTACCCCTCCCAGATACTGAACGTCTTAATACAAAAATCAGACTCACCTCGACAAGCTTCTTCAAATTCTTGGGTAATGTCCACCCAGTTTGTACTGCTTTTTTCCATTTTTTCTGGCATACTGAGCTCCCATCCTGAATCATCATCATCTACAGAAGCTTTCATAACCATTATGTCTGTAAAATTAATACTGATGTAAGAGAGAGGATGTAGCTTTCAGGACAAGAGTATTTGCAGAAATGTGTGTTTGTTTCAGAATGGGATGAGTCTTACTAAACTCTTTAAGCAGAACTCTTCTGAGTCTAAAGACAAGTACTGCAAAGAATAACCTTAATGCAATCAAATCCCACGTCAATTAACACTCCTGCTGCTTATTTACTATCAGCCCACCACCTACCAGGGCCCGTAAACTTTGCCTTTCTATTTAAGAGGAAAAAATCACAAACCATCTCACCACTGGCCCGAAAAGAACTCTAGAGCTTCCAACTTTCACTACTAGCTAGCCACAAATGACCAAGGCACTATTCAAAGTCCCTTCTCGCAGCCCAGGATCCCATGCAGCAACTACTGAAGTCAATGAAGGTAGCCCGTCACCTGGCCAGGAGCTCTCTGGGACCTCTTCCGGCCCGGCCCGGACCCGGGCACAGCCTCCTCGGGCAGAATGAGGAACAGGCACGCACCGCAGGGTCCTACCGGCCGGGCCTAGGACGGAAGCACACCTGAGGCGGGCACCCGCTTCCCTTCTGCCCCGCCCGTGTCAGCCCGGCCCAGCCCCGGTCCCACTGGGCGCGGAGGCAAGGACAGGGCTGTCGCCGCGCGGGAGGGCGCGCACGTCCGGTGCCGGGTCGTCGCCTTGGTAACACCGGGCAAGGCCGGGCCTCGGCCCACAGCAGGCACCTGGGAGCCCGCAGCTCCTACCTGACGTGCAGCGGGAGGGCCGGGGCCGCAGGGTGACCTGGGGTCCCCTGGGTCCGCCACACGCCCAGGGGGCTGCGGCTTTCGGACACACGAGAGAGAGGGTCTCAACGTCTCCGCAGGGGCGGTCCCTACCTACTTCTCCCGTGGTTACCCGCGCCGCCACGCACCGTCCGGACCACGGAAATAACGACGCCGCCTCTGCCGCCGCCGCCCCCTCCCCTCAGCCCAGCCCGATAGGCAGTGTATGCGCATGCGTACACCCTGGGCGCGCGACCCCGCCCCCTCCCCCTTACTCCCGGGGACTTTGCGCTCCCCGGCCACACCCCCTCCCTCGCCAACGCCTCCGTTCTGCCGATGGCGGCCGCCTTCTCTTCTCGCGAGATTAGAGACGATCGTGAGACCGGAAGTCACCTTCTTTTTCCCACCCTCGGTCGAAGTCCAGGGTAGTGGACGGTTCCTGGAAAGAGGCGGAGCCTGGAGCCTCAGAGCCCGCCCTTTCTGAGCTGCCCTCTGGGAATTTCTTAGAAAGGTGCCGCGAAGACTGAGGGAAACTGTAGAAGTGCGCATAGACCTTAGTGGTTGCGAGTACGAAGGAGCAGCCAAGCTGCCAGCAACGTGCTACTGCTGCCTGACAACGGATTTATGTACCTATACAGCGCCTGGGAATTTCCTGAAGGAACATAGAAACAAAATATCTGCAAAGTCAAGCCAGACATTTAATTTCAGATTCTCACGTTTTTGATTTTTTTAAAAGTTATTAATAAAATTATCAGTTTTAAAATGGGGTTACATAAATAGACTGGCACAGGTAAGAAGCACATCTTTATCACCACCTGTTCTTTAGAATGGCCCCAAATTAAAAGATAATACCAAATGTTAGCAAGGATGCAGAGCAACTGGACCTCTGCTATGTGGGTGGTGGTAATGCAAAATGGTACAACCACTTTGGAAAACTTAGTCTTTTATTACAATGATATACTTGTTGTATGATCCAGTAATTGCCTAAAAATTTACCTAGGAACAAAAACATATATTCATACAGAGGATTGTGCAATAATGTTCATACCAGCTTTGTTTTCTTTTGTTTTTATTTCTGTTTGAGACGGAGTGTCACTCTTGTTGCCCATACTGGAGTGCAGTGACATGATCTTGGCTCACCGCAACCTCCAACTTTCAGGTTCAAGCAATTCTCATGCCTCAGCCTCCTGAGTAGCTGGAATTACAGGTATATGCCACTACACCAGGCTGTTTTTTGTATTTTTAGTAGAGACCAGGTTTCACCATGTTAGCCAGGCTAGACTCGAACCCCTGACCTTGGCCTCCCAAAGTGCCAGGATTACAGGCGTGAGCCACCGCATCTGGCCCAGCTTTTTTTTTAATCAAAAACTAGAAACAACCCAAATGTCCATCAGCTGTTGAATAAACAACTTGTGGCATATCTATACAATGAAAATAATTATCAAGAGGGATCAACTACTTGACATGCAACATGAATTAATTTAAAAAATATATTGAGTAAAAGAAATCAGGCAAAGCACAGTGCCTCATACCTGTAATCCCAGCACTTTGGGAGGCTGGCTGGTGGAGACGTTGGGTTGGAGACCAGCCTGACCAACATGGTGAAATCCTGTGTTAGAGACAGAATGCTTCTTCCTAGGTACCACAAGGAAAAATTAGCATTCAGACAAAAAGCTATCTCAGCAAGGCAATTTTACTTTCTGCAGAAAGGGTGCTCCCATCAGCCATCTTGCCATGAGAGTACAATGAACAAAGGAAAGGCAGGCATATTTATTTCTTACACATTGGGTCCTTATTGCTGTGTCTGATCTCCATTGGTTGGAGCCAGACCTCACAATCTAAACTGAACCCGATTGGCTAACAACTTTAAACTTTTCTAAATAAGTAAAAGCAATGGAGAACAAAGGAAAAGAGGAAATCTAAATAAGGAAGGGGCATAGACTGTGAGCTGGGATATGCCTGTGAGCATGTCCAGCACAGATATCTTGGTTAAAGTACAAAGACATAGAATGTACTATGTGCCTATAAGCATGTCTAATAACTACATAGGATAGGGCTTAACAAAGAGTTGTTAGTAAAAAGCAAAACACTTTGAAGTTAGTTTTTAAAACAAACTATTATTTTTAACATTTATTTTTATTATTATTTAACAAGAAGGGAAACTTTAAAGAGGAACTTTTTACTTTCTACATCCTGTCTTTACTAAAAATGCAAAAAAAAAAAAATAGCTGGGCATGGTGGTGTGCACCTGTAATCCCAACTGTTTGGGAGGCTGAGGCAGGAGAATCACTTGAACTTGGAAAACGTAGGTTACAATGAGTCAAGATCATGCCATTGCAACTCTAACCTGGGCAACAGAGCAAGACTCTGTCTCAAAAAAAAAAAAAAAAAAAAAAAAAAGAAAGAAAGAAAAAAGGAAAGAAATCAAATGCAAAAGAGTATGATTCCCCAAGTGAGACCCCAAACTCTTAAAAGACATCTATAGTGACAGAAAACAGATTAGTGGCTGCTCAGAGCTCAAGAAGAGACTAACTTGGATAGAACTGGATTTGAAGTGATGTAAATAGTCTGTTTTTTTATTAAGGTAGTGCCCGTGTGGGTGAATACATTCGTAAAATTTCATTGAAGTTTGCACTTACAATATGTACATTTTATTGTTTGTAAATTGAACCTCAATAAATTTGGTTTAAAAAATAAAAAATGCTTATCTCTCTTACAGAATAATGTATTTCCCAAGGGCAGAAGGTTTGCCGGTTTAATGGAAGCTGTGTTCCCAGGACTTAGGGCAGTGATCGAACAGCTCGGTGTTGGCACCCTTAACAGCCAGCAACCCACGCTGCTTGGCATCTGCGATGGTGGCCTCCAGGAAAGCTCTCTGGCCTTTGAGGCCCTCGATCTCAGCCTGGAGCCAGCTGATGTTAATGTTCATCTTGGATATGTCAGTCTTTGTACCCCACGGGTCATCCCCATGCTTCCCAGCCACCATCTGTAGCTCCTCATACTTGATCTGGTACATGCTCTCAGCCTTAGCCCAGCTGCGGTTGGCGATCTCCTCGTACTGCGCCTTGACCTCAGCAATGATACTGTCCATGTCCAAGGAGTGGCTGTTGTCCATGGACAGCACCACAGACGTGTCTGAGATCTGGGACTGCAGCTTCTGGGTCTCCTGTTCATACAGCTGCCTGAGGAAGTGGATCTTGTCAGTCAGCCCTTTCAGGCGAGACCCCAGCTCTACCTTGTTCATGTAATCTACCTTGTTCATGTAAGCTTCATCCACATCCTTCTTGATGAGGACAAATTCATTCTCCATCTCTGTACGCTTATTGATCTCATCCTCATACTTGTTCTTGAAGTCCTCCACCAGCCCCTGCATATTGCCGAGCTCCGCCTCCAGCTTCAGCTTCTCCTGGCCCAGAGTCTCCAGCTGCTGCCTAAGGTTTTTGATGTAGCTCTCAAACATGTTGTCCATGTTGCTCCGAGCCATCTGCTGCTGCTGCAGGAGGTTCCACTTGGTCCCCAGCATCTTGTTCTGTTTCTCCAGGAACAGTACCTTGTCAATGAAGGAAGCAAACTTGTTGTTGAGGGTCTTGATCTGCTCCTTCTCCTGGGTACACACAGCTTGGATGTTGGGGTCCACCTTCAGGTTAAGGGGGCTCAGCAGGCTCTGGTTGACCATGATGGTGGTGATGACTCCCATGCTGCTGGCCCCACCATAGCCTCCGCCCAGGCCACCCCAGAAGCTGCCGCTTCCCACTAGGGAGAAGCTTGAGGACCTGATTGGGGCACCAGGCCCACTTGTGTAGGAGCGGCTGCTGAAGGCCTGGAGGCCAGAGGTGGACACCTTGTAGGACTTCTGGGTCACCCTGATGGACATGGTGGAGGCAGGCGGGCTGAATCAGGTGGAGATTCCAGGAGGAGTGGAGAAGCTTCTTCTTGAATTCAAAAGTTTTTATAAGAAACTCCTCTCATCTCTGTAATAGATTGAGTAACTTCTCTTATTAGTAAAGCTGTTTGTGCAATGTCCTTTATCTTACGCAGCTGTGGCTATGTCTCTAGGCAAGCACAAAGCATCGCTTCTCTTGTTTGTATAACTGTGGGTTTGTTTTAGGTAAGCCCCCCCCGCCACCACTCCCTTTGCAGGTTCCCACCATGTATATGCCTGAAAAGGGAAGGAAACTTTTCCCTGGGAGCTTGCTATTTATATAACAAACAAAAGGCTTCTGTGCTGGACCCTGTCTGCTTATCTGTCTGCATGTGCAGCCTGAGTTTTTTTTCTAGGTTGTTTTATTTTTGCCTGTTGCTGTGACTTTTCAGGCAGGCCACTTCTGCAGTCTGAATTTCCTCCAACTGAGTCTTCCTTTCCTTCTCCCTCATCGGTACTGTTAATTACCATTAATTGCCACTGTTAATTAGTCTTATTGTTTTGTTTAAATAACATTTATGTAACAGAAAATTAAATGATGCAGAATCTATAATTTCAAATAAATCTCGATTAAAATAACACATCATATGTCAGAATTACCTATGGAGGTTTTAAGAAATCTTCAAGTCCAGGCCTCACCCTTGGAGAAGGCTACAAAGTGGGTCGGGACCCCAATATTTCTAAAAGCCTCTTCAGGTATTTCTGATGTTTGCTTCCAGTTGAATTACTGACTTTAGGTCAACTGGGGTATTTTGGGTTTTGGGGGACTGTGGGAAACTTTTCTCACAGATTTACTAAGAGTAGCAAAAAACTTGGCCTCTGGCTTTTTTAGAGCTTGTCTCGGGCTTTTTTCCCCAGTGAAGGATTTTTTTCCTTCACTGACTCATTGATATTTGGCTTCTTCCCTGGGTCTTTCCAGGGGTCTCAGACTCTGTAGCCTTTGGGGTCTCAGAGGCTGGCAAGGCCTTTCTCTTCTTCCTGCCAGGTGTGTTGGGATCAAGACTCTTTTTTGGAGACTTCCATCTATAGCATGTTTTTCCATCTGTACATTTTCATTAGCTATAGTTTTTCCTATGATTGCCAGTTGTAGAATTTCATTTTCTGATTCATTTGTCATTTTAACTCAGGCTCTTCCTCTGCCACATTTTTTCTTCTCAGGCTCTCGAGTCTGTTTCTTCTTTTTTTTTTTTTTCTTTTTTTTTAAGGAAGGGATGAAGGAAGGGAGGAAGGGAGGAAGCGGGGAGGGAGGGAGGGAGGGAGGGAGGGAAGGGAAGAAAGGAAATCAAGCAATGAATGAGACATTGCCGACCTGGATCTAGAGGTTTACAAGTTGATTTCTTTTTTTTTTTTGAGAGAAGTAAAGAAAAAAAAAAAAGTAAAGGAGAGGAAGAAAGAGGAAGAGAAAGAGGGAGAGTAAATGGAAATATTGCTTTATTTTGAAAAAAATTGGGTATTAATAATGGCCAATCAATGTTTCGTTTAAACTAATGGGTAGGTGTGATGTGGTATTGACAAGAATGTATATTTTGTGTATTTGAAGTGGAGAGCTCTATAAATATTTATTAAGTTTACTTGTTCTGGATCTGAGTTCGAGTCCTTGATATCCTTATTCATTTTCTGTCTCATTGAATTTAAGTCTCCTATCTGGGTGTTAGGATCGTTAGCTCTTGTTGTTGCATTGATCCTTTTACCACTATATCTTTGTTGCTTTAAAATCTATTTTATCCGATACAAGAATTGCAACTCCTGCTTTTTATTTATTTATTATTTATTTTTGCTCTCCATTTGGTTGGTAAATCTTTCTCCATCCCTTTGTTTTGAGTCTTTGTGTATCCTTGGCATGTTAAACAGATCTGGATGTAACATGCCGTTGGGTTTTGGCTGTGTCTTTTGATTGGGAATTCAGTCAATTTAAATTTAGGGTTACTGCCATTTGATGTTGACTGGCTGTTTTATCCATTTGTTGGTGTAAATTCTTCTTTATGTTGGTGCTTTTTACTTTTTGGTGTATTTTCAGAAAGGCTAATACTGGTTGTTTCTTTCTGTGTGTAATGCTTCTTTCAGAAGCTCTTGTAAAGCAGGCCTGGTGGTAATAAAATCTCTGAGTTCTTGCTTGTTCATAAAAGATTTTATTTTTCCTTCAGCTGTGAAGCTTAGTTTGGCTGGATATGAAATTCTGGGCTGAAGGTTCTGTTCTTTGAGGATGTTGAATATTGGCCCCCACTCTCTTCTGGCCTGTAGAGTTTCTGCCGAGAGATCTGCTGTAAGTCTGATAGGCTTGCCTTTGTGGGTAATCTGACCATTCTCTCTGGCTGCCCTTAGTATCCTCTCCTTCGTTTCAACCCTGGTGAATCTAACGATTATGTGCCTTGGGGTTGCTCTTCTTGAGGAATATCTTTGTGGTGTTCTCTGTATTACCTGGGGTTGAGTGTTGACCTGCTTTGCTAGTTTAGGAAAATTTTCCTGAATAATATCCTGAAGGGTATTTTCCAGCTTGGATTCATTCTCTCCGTCGCATTCAGGTACACCTATCAAACGTAAATTTGGTCTTTTCACATAGTCCCACATTTCTTGGAGACTTTGCTCATTCCTTTTTATCCTTTTTTCTCTAATCTTTTCTTCACGTTTTATTTCATTAAGTTGGACTTTGACCTCTGATATCCCTTCTTCTGCTTGAACAATTCGAGTGTTTAAACCTGTGCATACTTCTCGGAGTTCCTGTATTGTATTCTTCAGTTCCATTAATTCACTCATACTCCTCTCTAAGTTGTCTATTCTCAATAGGAGTTCATCAAACCTTTTTTCAAAGTTCCTAGTTTCTTTACGTTGGGCTACAACATGTTCTTTTAACTCACCGAAGTTTGTTATTATCCATTCCTTGAAGAGTGATTCTGTCATCAGGAGGCGCTCGTTCTCCATCAAGCCTTGTTCCATTGTTGATGTGGAACTGTGATCATCTTTAGAGGGAGAGGCGTTCTGACTTTAAGTATTCTCAGCTTTTTTACGCTGGTTTCTTCCCGTCATTGTAAATTTATCCTCCTGTCGTCTTTGAAATTACCAACTTTCAGATTAGGTCTCTTGAGTGGATGTCCAGGTTGTTAGCTCCCAGGGCCAGAGCAGCGGCGTTAAAACTGATGGTGCTTTTCTGCCCAGGATTCTCCTGTTGGGCTTCCTTCTTGTTTCCGTAGTAGGCGACTCTGCCTTCCTGGGGCTCCAAACCTCGGTCAGAAGGGGAACCGGGGCCGGGCGTGGTGGCTCAAGCCTGTAATCCCAGCACTTAGGGAGGCCGAGGCGGGTGGATCACGAGGTCAAGAGATCGAGACCATCCTGGTCAACATGGTGAAACCCCGTCTCTACTAAAAATACAAAAAATTAGCTGGGCATGGTGGCGCGTGCCTGTAATCCCGGCTACACAGGAGGCTGAGGCAGGAGAATTGCCTGAACCCAGGAGGCGGAGGTAGCGGTGAGCCGAGATCGCGCCATTGCACTCCAGCCTGGGTTACAAGAGCGAAACTCTGTCTCAAAAAAAAAAAAAAAAAAAAAAAAAAGAAGGGGAACCGGTCCTGTTTACTCTGCGCCGAGCGCTGCCGCGTTGAGGTGCCGGCGGAACCTCTGCGCCGACCACGAGTCGCACTGGCGACTCGTGTGTTTCCACCACTGGGGTATCTTCTGCTCCGTGAGCGACCAGACTTTGTCTGAAAGTGTGGCGTCCTCTAGTTCTCCGCGCCTTCCCTGAGAGCTGCAATCCTGGGATGTTAGCGATCGGCCATCTTGGATCGTTCTCCTGTTTCTTCTTTAATTCTGGTTTCTTCAATGCAATGCCACCACTTTTAGGTCCCATGTAATTTTTTTCTTTTTTGACACGGAGTCTCACTCTGTCACCCAGACTGGAGTGCAGTGGCGTGATCTCAGCTCACTGCAACCTCTGCTTCCTGACCTCAGATGATCTGCCAGCCTCGGCCTCCCAAACTGCTGGGATTACAGGCATGAGCCACTGTGCCTGGCTTATTATTTTCTTTTCTGTTTTTAAGACGTTCTATATATTAACTCTTGATTGAAGCCACAATTTCTATAAGGCAGTGCATCATTTTTCCTTTTTACTTTTGTATTGGCTATGTGAAAGTATTTTTAGTCAAATTTGCCAATAAAGACTTCATTTACAACTTGAGGTATTATTGTGATCTCATAAGAAAATGATGCAAAAGAAGTGAGCTTCAAATGGCCTGCTGAGGAACCCCAACATTTAGAGGTCAAGTAGAGAAAGAGGACCTAATAAAAGACTCAGAGTAAAGAGCAGAAGAAAAACCAGAAGAGTGTGATTCACTGAATGTGAGAGAGACATTAACTCCCAATTATTAACCTAATAACAAATCAGATACATAATATTTAATGCATAGTTTTCTTTTAAAAAATTTTTTCCAAATCACTTTTACATTAATAAATAATTTTCAAGCAGTTTCCTGGGGTCTAGCAATATGTGAATTTTTTACTAAAAGAAATAACTACATCTATAGACTTCTTACGTTTCATCAATGAATTGTCTAATGGATGATACCGAAACCCTTAAGTTTCTGTCAAAAGAGAAGTGAGCATAAGACAAATATCAACCATTTGCAGATATAATATCAAAGTAATAAATTTAGGCTGACCACGGTTGGCTCATGCCTATAATATCGGTATTTTGGGAGACTGAGGCGGGAGAATTGCTTGAGTCCAGGAGTTAGAGACCAGCCTGGGCAACGTGGGAAAGCCCTATCTCTACACAAAACCAAAACAAACAAACAAACAACAACAAAAACAAAAGCAGAAAAATAATTAGCCAGGCATGGTCGCACATACCTATAGTCCCCACTACTTGAGAGGCTGAGGCAGGAGTATCACCTGAGCACAGGAGCTCAAGGCTGCAGTGAGCTGAGATTGCACCACTGCACTCCAGCCTAGGTGACAGTGAAACCCTGTCTCAAAAGTAAATAAATAAATAAATAATAAAGAAATTGAAAAGTAGAAAGCATAAATATTGAAAAGACTTATGAATTCGATAAACTTTAGGTCCTATTTGAAATAAACTATAAACAATTTGAAGTTATTGAATGAATTTCAGCACTGATCAGATATTTGATGATGCTAAGAAATTA